TACTCGTCCCATTTGTCTGCGCCCATGCCGTATGCTAGCTGACGAATTGCAGTCGTGCATTTTTTAATGGGAGAGAAACCTTTTATCCGCCTTGCATACATTTTCCATTGGAAATATGGAAAGCGGCCTTCCAAATCGCCACAATACGTAAGAATAGTTCCTTCCTCATCCGGAACCGACGTCGAAACTTTACAGCGTAGATGGCGTCATCTGCAACATAATCTTCTATAAGGCGATCGTGTCCGGCTTCATGATTTCTACGCAACCGCGGCTTTTTTGGTTTAGATCGTGCACGTGATGTTTCGCCTAGTCGGTTTTGATAGTATGCAACCGTTTTCGTCATGGCGGAACTGATAAACTTAGCCTCCTCTACAGCCGTCGAATCGGATGATGAAGATGATGACATTTTGAATAATATTTTTTTGGAGAGAAATATAGGTTATGGGTTAAAAAAAAGATAGGATGTTGTAGTATTTATAGTTTAAGAAAAGGGAAAGAAAAAAAAATTGTATATAACGGCTATATAGCCGTTTGGAATCAAAAAAAGAAAAAAAAAATTAAACACCCAATCAAGTGAAGAGAGAGAGTGCGGGACTCCCTCCCCCCACCTCTTTCCCGCGTTTCCTTTCCTGCACCCCCGGTGCGGTGTTTCTCCATGCGGGACGTTTCCCGCGGCCTTCCCCGCTCACCATACCGTCCGGCCTAAGAATCCATAATTCCAAAATGATATTGGTGTATTTGACGCGTTTATTGATTTTGTTGATACAATATATCTGATACATCACACTTTATAAACCCATATTGTGAGTTTTCGGTGTAGAAGGGTAAACAGGAATTTTTTAGTCGGAAAATAACAAATAACAAAAAAATTGATTAGGCTAATGCAATTTTATATTTTATATAATTTTTAAATTCAAGTTTATCGCTTTAATAATTTGTTTATTTTTAGATTGTAGCAAATTGATGGCAACTTATGGTGTCTCGACTCCTCAATCACGAAAGATTGATACGGGGATAAAAATGTTTGTGTGCCTTTTTCCTGACGTTGATATTGATTACAGTCTTCTAATCTCTTCAAATATCTTCTAGCCTAAAAACACAATTTTATCGAATGTTTTTTTTTCTTTTTTTCGAACGCCTTCTTTTACATCTTCAAAAAAAAAATTTATTTGAATATATTTTTCAATCTTTCCCATTTTAACTGCAAATAAGTATAGTACATATCAATTATATCCGTTAATTCACACCATTTTACATTTTATTTTGTTATATTACAACAAAATATTTAAAAACTGATTTAATTATCATATTGTCATTAGGGAAAACTGGAATAAAGCCCTTACGTATTGGTCTTATAATCGATTTAGTTCCTATACTTTTGCATTTGTATGATCTGGTTAGGCCCATTGGTTTGGCAGGGCTAGGCCCTTTATGGTGAGTTGAGCCCAATATGCAGGCTAGGCCCAATGGTATGTATGGTATATGGTATTTTGGGGGAGCTCACTAAGCTTTGTGCTTACGGTTTTTATGGTTATGGTTTCAGGTACTTCCGATTCGAAAGGGAATGACCCGACTTGATTGCAGCACATCCACCCATGTTTCCGCATCATGATAATTTGGGATTGTAATCTGATAACTGTTTTCTTATAAAAGTACTTCTGAATATTTGGATAAACAATTATTGAATGTTGACTTAAAGATAATTAATGTTTTGGTTGAATTAAAAATAAAATTTTTACCTCATAATTTTGGGTTGTTACAAAAATATTTTTAGATCATAACAAGTTAAGGATCATAAACATATTGACTCATAATATTTTTGAATAATCTCTATTTGGATTATATTATGTTCAACATGTAAAAAAAACTTTTAATCTTTTAAAATCAAGTTTGGTATATAAAACACTTTATTTTTAAAAAATTCTTTTTACAAAATCATTAGAATAGTGAGTAGAAATTTTCCTTAAATTTTTATAATTATTGGAGAATTTTTTTTCTGGGTTTTTTATAAATATAAAAAATAATATTTTTTTTCTTCAAATTTTCATGATCGTGTTCATTTTGTAGAGAACTAAATTTTAAGAAATTTGGTTTTCTTAGATTTTTTTTCAAAAAAAAAATTATGGCCGAAAAACTAAGTGGGTGGAAAAAAAACTCACCATCCAATAAGGACTGAACACTTGCCATGGTAGGGTGTGACATGTGGCATCGTTTGGAGAGGCCACATAGACCAAATTTTATTTTTGTTTTTTGTTTTTTCTTTTAATCTTTTTGTTTTTGTCATTTGTACCTCCAAACAAATAACTTTCCCCGAAAATTATCAAAATCTCGTAATTAATTACTAAAATGTCATATCATCTCGTGAGATTTTGAAGATAAAAAAAATCAAATCTTGGCCATTTATTTTTTTAATCTTAAGGCCAAAAATTGTCTTCACGGTTCCTACCATTTTTTGAGTTTTTACTTCATCATATATATATATATATATATATATATATAATATATATATATATAAAACTGGGTAACAATTATCACTATTTCAATGAATGATTTTTTTTTCTTCAGAAAAATGTTATTTGACTGTTTCAATGACTATAAATTTTCTGGCTGATAGGTTAGAAAATTTCATGTCCGACCTTTGGACAAACATCATGCCTAAGTTGAGATAATATAAAATAAAAATCGAAACTTTTTCAGAGAATGTTTTGAATGTTTTATCTGTCACAAATTATCTTGGACTATTTTCAATAATAAGGATGAAGTGGGAAATCATATCTCTTGGAACAGTGAGAGATAGAAAGAAATGGGTTGAACAAAAGAAAATGCATTTTTGTCCAATTACCATTTGTCGAATAAAAACTAAGCATAATTCATCTTGTTTTTTCGTGTACTACTTAACAAACTGACCCTGAGTAAATTTGTTATATTGTGGAGGAAACCACTTGAGATGGTCCGGAAACTGATTTTCAACCTTAAAAAATAAGCTTTCATAAAAATACAAAGACTTAAATCTATCAACAAATAATAATTTTATTTTATGAAGAAAAAGAGATCAAAACGAGAAAATCTTCATTGACATAGAGGTCCACCATTATGTGATAATCGCGCCATTAAAACCAAAAACATCATTGGACAACCACAATAATTCCTTCCTATAAAATATCGATATGCAACATGAATAAAGAAAGAAAAATAAAACTAAAAGATTAAAACCAAAGATAAAATATGTTAAAATAACGTGAAATCGTGAACTCTAATGAATAAAGTGACAGTAATGTGAAACGATAACATATCTCATATTTTTTACTTTTTAGTATAATCTTCTATCTACGTTAAAAAATGAACAAAATTTAATTGATATTTCATTCTTTAAATATTTTCGGTGATTATTATTTACCATAATTAGTTTTTGTTCCCTGAAAGATAAGCGGTTTGTGCATAACAAATTTATACATTAAGTTTTCAAGCATATATACCTCTTGAATTTCAAGAAAAGTTCAATATGCTTTATAACAAATTTATACATTAAGTTTTCAAGCATATACCTCTTGAATTTTAAGAAAAGTTCAATATGCTTTATAATATAGTTAATATATATATATATATATATATATATATATATATATCTCCTAAACTAATAAAACAGTACCAGCTCGCCACGTGGCATTCTATGAGCTTCCCCCCAACAATTTTTCCCGCTCAAAAGGCTAAGTTAATTTCCTTATTTGCCCTTTAACGAAAAAATTAGTTGTCCCTATTAATATGCTATTCCTCGATCCTCAATTTACGGATATCATATTTCAAATCTTCCTATCTTCCTATTATAATAAACCTGCATTAAAAATCACATAAAATCAGTATGAATTTTCGGATTTCATATTCTATACAAATTTAGCACTAAAAATGTAATCACCTTAAAGATAACGCAACATCTTACCTTAAATTTTCGGATTTCAAATTTCAAAATCTTCCTATTCCAATAAACCTGCATTAAAAATACATAAAACCAGGAAGATTTTTTCAATTATATTTCGTATATATATCACCGTAAAAGATAACGGAACATCTTACCTTAAATTTCGTAAACATCACAATCCTTTCAGTTTTTGAATTATATATTCACCGGTTACTTGGATATATGGTATTTAGCTTCGTATTCTTTCTGTTTCGACTGCATCTCAGAATTTCTGCTTCATCAAAGTTCAACGCTTAAAGGTTAGTCTTAATTCTATCGTTCATATTTGTACATTTATTTGCTTCTCCTTCATCTTATTCATGGTTTGTGTTTGATATCGAACCTTCATGCTTATAAAATCTACTATAAATGATTAATGGAGTTAGCATTAATCATTTGATTCATCCTATTTTGCTGGAAATAATATAGCAATTAGTATAATTTGATGTTAAACCGTTTTTTTCTGTTTTTATTCTACTATAAATGATTAATGCAATTAGCATTAATCATTCAACTTTATTCATCTGAATTGGATACATTCGATTTTGTGTACATCTTACTTTCCATATCTGCTTTCTTTTTTTCGTGAATATATTTTGCGTTTTTTTGGAAGGTTAGTGTACATTCTGTTTTTTTATTAAGATAAAATAATTTTGTTATTTTGGAGATTTTGAAAAACTGGTTGAATATGGATGTAAAAACATATGCGAAAAACATAAATGGATGAGAATTTTCAGAAAGTAGAATGTCATAGTGTTTTTTCTATTCTTGCTCTGTTTCAACTAGGCCTGTCGAAAAAACCCGAAACCCGTTCTACCCACCCGACCCGTTCCGAATTCGGGTAGAACGGGTCGGGTAAACGGGTAACGGGTATGAACATTCGGGTAATAGGTTAACCCGATAATAATATAGGTCGGGTTTTATGTATGAATATTTATTTTCGGGTATACCCGAATACCCGAATTTGTTTTTTAAATAATACCAAATATACAATACAGTCACGTACGCACACTTCAAATAAAACAAAGCCCTCCGTTTCCTTCTTATGAACGACGGCTCGACAGTCGACGCAAACTTGCAAAGGGAATACGACGCTGAAGCTGAAGTCCTGAACCGTCATCACAATTCTCAGTTTCTCACCATTGCACGGAATGGAATTAAAAAAGTACATAACATATTATAATGAGTTGTATTGTTATTATATATGTACTTGTTAATTGTATGGAGTATTTTCCTACCCGATTCTTTATTAAACCAACCAACATGTAAAAATATATAAATATAAATAAATAACAATAAGTGTCATTTAATAAATTTTCGGGTATACCCGATAATTACCGACCCGACCTCAAACCCGAATACCCGAAACCCGAAAACCCGAATTACAATATAGGTCAGGTATCGGGTATTATTTTCTTAAGGAAATACTCGTTCTACCCGACCCGTTCTACCCGAAACCTGAAAATTTTACTCGTTCGACACCCCTAATTTCAACATTGTACTTTGATAATCTTCTTATTTTATGTTTGGTCCTATTTCAACCCTTTTCAACATTGTATATTCATAATCTTCCTATTTCAGCATTATAACTTGAATCTCTTGCTAAAGTACATTAACAAAGAATATTGCCATGTTTTTCAAATGATCTGTTATTTATGTTCTCAAGGAACTTGAATTCAAGCTAATGGGTTCCAAAAGTTTGAATGATTACATAAATAAGGTGGTGATAAATACATTATAAATCTCACAATAGTTGAGAATGTTAACAACTTTAAGTGTGTTGATCATTCACAAAAAGTTAGCAAGGTTATTAAAAAACCGTGTATTACAAATGTTTTAAAGAAGTTTTTAGAAATTTATAAATAATTTTTGTAATTTTATTTTTTTATATAACCTTTTACTTAATATAGTAAATCGGACTTTATCGTTTTAATTTAAAATTTATTGTGTTATATTTATATATGTTTATTACTGTTATGTTTACTTTTTTCATGTATCAAAGTCATTACATCGTTATTTGTCATGTTATTTCATTGTAATTTCCATGATTAAATTCATAACAATAATTATATCTTTGTAAATTAATAATTTGTTTTGCAAATATTTTATTACTTATTACAATTTTCAATTATGATTATTATTATCTAACAAAAACATATATAGATTATTAAAGTTTCTTTCTAACATACAATTTTATGTATATATTCAACCTACTTCTCAAAATATTCAAAACCACACAAAAATAATTATAAAATCTGCTTTCAATAATGATTTATTCATGTATGAACATAGGCAATTTAGGTGTACCATTTCTTTGTTTTATCATTCTTAAAATCTGCTTTCAATTGTTTGCAGGAAATGAATATAGGTAATAAAGTATACCTTAAAAACATTGAGCATATTGATGATGATTCCCATATCAAAGTGCGAGTGTTAAAGATGTGGAACTTTATAAAAAATAATGCGGTTTTAGCAATTGAAATGATTGTAATGGATGAGGAGGTTTGTTGTACTATTTTTTTTATATATACCACTCAATATTAAATATGTTTCAATCAATAAAATAATTGTTATTTATTTGATTTAACAGGGTACAAAATACTATTATCGTGTTTTCAATCAAAAATTTTCTAGATTTGGTGATCTTTTAAAGGAAGATCAAACTTATATCATTATCAAACCCAACATGGCGGCGGTGAACAATGGTTTTAGTGTTACGGGTCATAAACAGACCATAACTTTGAATCGAAGAAGTATTCTAAAAAAATGTGAGGATTTTTCAGGTCCAGTGAATGGTTTTGTGTTTGTTGATTTTAATTCTATTATCGAACAAACATGCTCTAGAGAGTCATTCTTTGGTTAGTTATTTTATTTTATTGCAATCACTTTTTTAAATTGTCTAATTTATTATACATGTTAGTATTTAACTTAATATTAATTATTATATTTTATTAAACTTGTGTAGATATTATTGGACAAGTTGTCTCATTTCGTGCACTTGAAACATCAAATCCTAACCCATCCAATCATTACATAAAGATGACTTTTAGCAACTTACAGTGAGATTATATTTCTTATATTTCTTTATTATTTTTAATCATATTTTTACATACTAATTAATTTAATTTTTTATTTAGGTATGTACACCTGAAGGTCACTATATTTGGAACTCAAGCACACCAGATGTCACAGTACCATAAAACTAATCCTACTGTAACTTGTGTTGTTATAGTGATGCAATTTGCTAAACTTAACATTTGGGATGGTTTGTAGTCATGCCATTTTTATTTATTTTTTATTTGAATTTAATTTTATTGAGTAATTTATTTTTATAGGAATTGGTCAAGCCCAAGGTCATTTTGATGTAACCAAATTGTTCATTAATTCAGACACTGTCGAAATTATCGAGTTTAAGAAAGAGTTAGTTTTCTTGAACTTTTAAAATTTTTTATTATTGTTTTGTAATTAAAACAAATACAACTTCTTATATGTAAATAAATATTTTTAAACATTACAGATTGAAAGCTGATAACAATGGAGGTATGTCTGAAAAAAGTATAACTACATTTCTAAGCTACTCTTCTTCTTATATAGATGATTTTAAAGGTGATTTCCCTTTAAAAACAGTTTGTGAGATCACAGAACCACCGAAGGTATATTGCATTATTTGATATCCTTTAATTTTATTTACACATTGTATGTTTTTTTAATATAAAATTTAATGTTTTACTAAAAATTTTATGCTTTTTTTATATATATTTATTTTTTACTGGAATTTACTTTTTATTGAGTAACTTTTACCTTTTATTTCATAAAGGTAATGAAATTTCTATTAGTTGGTTCCATCGTGAATATAAGACAAAATCTACGTTAGTATTACGATGCGTGCTCCAAATGTGGGAAAAAGATAGACACAATGCCCAAAGTCAATTATTCCTATAGCACCCCAGACAAAATTTCAGAGACTGTTGTTACTAAATGTAAAGAAGCACGTTGCAACACTTCGGATTTTCATCCTGTTACAAAGTATAAACATTTGTATTTATACACATTTGTATTTATATTAACCATTTCACTTTTGAACAAAATTGATATTAATGTTATATTTTTTTGTTTAGGTATATGATTCCAATCAACGTACAAGATGTTACTGGCACCATCAGATTGACTCTTTTTAATAGGGAAGCGAAGAAGCTATTGGGTATAAGTGCATACCAATTGAGAAAAATACATGAAGAGGTATAGTATGTTATTCATATTTTTTAATAAAAAACATTCTATTTGTTTTAATTCATATTTTTAAATAAAAAAACATTTTATTTGTTTTAATATGTTAAACATTCCTCTTACAGGTTGGAGACAGTTTGAAACTATTTCCAAACCAAATTAACATCTTGAAAAACCGCAAGTTTGCTTTTCTTGTAGATATTACATCCTATAATGTGGAAAACTAATAATATATATATATATATATATATATATATATATATATATACCATTCTCAAACTTACGGAAGATGTATCAATTGTTTCCGAATTGGAAAGTAAACTTGAACTTTTGGTATCTACATTTCCCATATAAATTAGATTTTTCTTTTTGACTTTTTAAGTAACTTCCGGGTTTTCCAACTTATTTTATAGAGTACTCAATCTGTGTCTATGACTCAAGTCCCTTTGGAATCTGATGAAGATGTAGAGAAAGTTGTGAACGTATTTTGAAGTCCATAACAATAATTATTTATATTTAATGATATAAACTTCAATATGTACTTTCATTATTTGTTCCAGTTTCATTATTTAACAAATTATGTTTTGTTTTTATTGTTATATGTTGTTAATAGCAACATGCATTATCTGATTTTTTTTTTCATTTTATACATTACAAGGGTAATTTTGGAAATAAACAAAATAAAAACAGTTTAATAGCAATGTACTTTCATGTTTTCAAATTAATTTTGTTATTTCCAACAATGTCTTCAAATTACATATTTGTCAACCGTACATGGGCAAAATGGTCATACTTTTGTAATTTTATACATTATATAGAAAAATTTTAATTTTATAAATATAAAATGTAATTTTTTATTCTTCTATTTGTTTGTTCAATTTTTACAGTAATTTATTTAACAACTTATGTTTTGTTTATGTTATTAGGATGCTATTTCTTTTACGGATGGCAATTTAACTCCGTCGAATGTTCATAAATCGAGCGCAACCAGTCCTGTCAAAACGTCAACTGATTTAAAGCGCAATTTGCATGACGTTTATGATGTTGATGATGATGGTGATGCAAGTTCAACAAAATCAAAAAGGAAATCTTTGGGTGAAGAGACTCCACTTTTGGTGCCAAAAGTGGAGAAGTGAGTTCATTATGGTTTATAAAAACAATTCTTAATTTTGGTTTGGTTTTAAAGACTATTTCTTTGTTTCGTTCAATTATTTTGGGGACTTTCAACTGTTTTGATACGTTTGTTTTGTTTATTTCAAATGGTTTAACAATACATTTTCACTTGGTTTGACACTTTTGCTTTAAAATTGATTTGTATCACAATTAGATTTCTAGAATTGCTTGAATTATTCAAAGTAAATTGATATCTATTGCAGTTATACCTATGTAAAAACAGGCAAAAATGTAAATTAAAATGAGAATTAGTAATAATACCAGTAAATGATGCATGAATGATGTTTGTCTTCAACTTTTTAACCTCATTGATGCTTCCACTCCTCATAGCATGAGAAACGTTTTATTGTAGACATACACGTACCTGATATGGAGATGAAATAGTACACTCAAATTAAGCTTTGAACATAAAATGTTTAAAAACAGTTAAATTTAAATTCAAAACAAGCAATGTACTTGTGTACAAGGGCATAATTGTCCTATTCTGTTGAAAAACTGTTAAACTATATATATATATATATATATATAATATATATATATATATATATAATAACTAAAACCATTTAAAATTATGATAAAAAAAATTACAAAGAATTTACTTTTGTACTGAACAATCACTTAGGTATACCTAAATCTAAAAAAAATTAACCTAAAAATTAATATAATGGAAAGTTTTCATATATTTTTTTTTATAAAACTATAAATAAACTCAATATTCATATTCAATATTCAACGATATCTTTTAATATTATAATCTATTTGATATTTTTATATGTCTTTTTTTTTACGAGTTAATATGAACAAATTCAGAACCTACAAAATGAAAAATTAAAATATTTATTAGATAAAAGGTCGTTCTTGAAAATTATAATTCAATTTATTCTCAATTATAGGAACATTGTAATGGTTTTTCAAAGCTTAAATTGGTACAATTCTGTCGAAGATCAAGAATCCATAAATTGGTCAAACAATTGTTTCATTAAGCTTGTGGTCGTTAAATCCATAGATTGGTTTTATATTTATTTAGTAATTAGTAACTTTTATGAATTTTCTTATAAGGGCATAATTGTCTTTTTTTTTGTTTAAAAACTGTTAAACACTGTTTTTACAGGGTTTTTTTACTATTTTTTTTTTGCATAATTATTCTTTATAACTCCATTTAAACATTTAAATTTAAATTCAAAGCAAGTAATGTACTTGTATACAAGGGCATAATTGTCCTTTTCTGTTGAAAAACTGTTAAACACTGTTTTTTTAATATTTTTTTTCATAATTATGCTTTATAAATCCCTTTAAATCATACAAAAGCAATGTAGTTGAGTAAAATGTCATAAGAGTCAAAGTTTGACATGGGTAAATAAATGCTCAATTGCAACTTCACGAATGTAAATGATACCTGGTTTTACAATATCAAATTGGTGAGCCAAACCCACAGTAATCCTAATTCTTATTTTGCTGAAAATCAAGTATCAAAAGTCAAAACTCAAAACTCAAAGTCAAAATTAGAATCAAATTATGAATTGAAGGATATTAACTGTTGACAGCAAGCCGTTCACCGATATCTTCCCCAGAAGGTAGTCTCACAGCTTCAATCATGTTTCTACTACCCAAAGTAGCTTCAATGTTTTATGTTACTTGTGCCTCCTGTAAATAAAAATAACATTTTTTAAAAGTTTTTTCCTTGAGTTTTAGTAAATTAAAAAGAAATGTAAATAAAATGATGAACCTTACTCCGATAATGTGCACTCATCTTTGGACGAATTGTCCTCTGGTTTCTGAAATTACGCATTTTACACTATGTTCAATACACGTAATAACGCAACTACTTGATTGAATAATCTTTACAAAAATTGTAGCATTTGATAATAAACCCAATAACTTATATTATGATATAATCAGTAACATATAGCTCTAAAGAAACATCTCACTTCTATAATCAGTAACATATAGCTCTAAAGAAACATCTCACTTCAGACAATCACAACCATGGTAATCCTAATTCCTATCCTGCTTGCAATTTCCAAAACTTTTTCCTGAGCACCCAATGCATTTGCTTCCTCTTTACAAAAACAGATTTAAAGCTTTAAACAATCAAGGGCAAAGTTGTCTTTTTGAATTCAATCTAGATGTGTCTGTTTCTAAATTCACATAAATGGTCTGTCGAGAAAAATCGACTACATGTAAAATCTAGCCCCAATACACGTTTATCCTTTAATTCATACCTAAAAATCATCCCTATTTACTAGGAAAGTATATATTTTAATTTGTTTTTGAAAAATCAATGTAAAAAAACTCCATATTGAAAATTTGAAATTAGAATTCAAATTTCTAAAAAACTAGATTTTTTGGGGGTCTAAATTACCTCCAAATCGGTATATAGATTCGCCTAAAGGATTTTGCAGAACGTTGACAACTTCCTCTGATTCATCATTTCTTCAGCCTTCATACTTTATTCTGATTCATCATTGCTTGGGCTGACTCATGCCGATGACGATATCCTCTTCCTAATCGTTCCACGTTACATTTCAAAACACACGATAATATGTAAGTAATCGCATCCTTCTGATTTCCTGATTTTGGAGAATATCGAGACCAATCATTGTATGTAGTTTAATCGTGAAGGTTCTGACCTACATACACATTCTTCCAACAGCTTCATCTGATTTATTGTACGCCCCATATGAGATTTGTAGTCAATTGGATAAATAGGTTTAGGGCTACGTTTAATTGTACGCATCCATTCATCATTTCTTCCTTTTTCGCATACCTAGAAATGTAGAAATGTAGATGGGTACGTTAGGTTTGGGAGGTTAGGGGGGTTTGGCTGCCAGTATTTCAAAATAGGGGATCTTAATGCTAAATTATACAATTCAAAGTGTATAAAGTATAAAAATTCTTAAGCTATAATAACTCTATAATGAGAATACTGAAACTGCAATTCTATATTACAATTTAGAAATAAAAAAAATTAGATATTACAATATAAATATATAGTCTGTATATAATATTGATGTACAATTCATTTTTAAGACAAATGATTTAGTGGTAACTCTATATTTTATATTTATGTTTTCTTGATATAAAAATATTAGATTGTAACTACATTACAAGGATGGTCCCATTTACAAACTTTATAAACCATAATGCAAATATATTTCAAATTTTATCATCGTATTAGTTTATCTTATATTATCTTTACTTTAATTATTTTTTTCCATGTCTATCGTCTAATTTTAAATAATAATTACGATTGTGTTGTTTTATTAACTATGTGCATATCATCTATTTTATTAACTAAATGGTGTTGTTTGTTCAGAACGCAAACAGATCATGAAGTCGGTTAATTTTAAAAAGACTAGAAAATTAAATACTTTTTATTTAGAAAATAGACATAACATTAATTTGTCTGCTACATCAATCCAACAATATTCAACCGCTACTAATGTTCTTACTTCAGTTAACAACGGTATGTTTATCATTCACCATTTTTTATTTTTATTTTTACATATTTTTTAAGTTCTTTGTATATTTTTTGATAACATAAAAATATGTACTATTCTAACACCAACCCGTATTAACATGACAAAAAAAAGCAAATAAATTATCTCCTTCCTTGTACGTTGAATCTTCATCATCTGCAATATTTTTTAACAAATGTTACAAAGGTACATTTATTTCTTCACTATTATTAATATTCTATATCAATGCAATTATCTACCTATTGTTAATTTTATATCATATGCTTATATTCCTTATGCAGAAAAAAACAACTATATGTACTACTTGCAAGTAAAAGAGAATAGAAGACGGAGAAAATTATATTTGGATAATAAGCGATTGAAGAGAACAAATACAAGATCCAGCATTCTAAATCCATCAACTCCACATGTCTTAAAAACATGGATAACTGAAATTTTCTTATTAAAATCAACCATGTTTTACACTTCATTTAGATGAAAAATACAATACATGATTTCTCATCTTTTTATGTTATTACCCTATAATTTTATATAATTTTACCTTCTTATTTTTTTTACGTCATGTCTTCAATTTTTATAATATATATTTTTTTGCAGATCAATCTAAGAGCGTTGTTCTTCAAAATGAAAATGTTCATTCGTATAGATCTCAAGGAAATGAAAATACGCCCTTACAATTTTCTCCTTCGTACATAAATGTTAGAACTCCGTTATCTAACATTACAAATGGTAATAATTTTGTTTTTAAATTTACTATGATGCACACTCTAATAAATTTATAATCTTTTTTTAATTTACTATTATTTGTTTCAGCTAACATTGGTTTCAATAACTACCCCACTTCAACGTTAGCAAATAAAAGAAACTACTCTGTGCTTTCAGACGATATGACATCCAGAATTGCATCTACAATATTTCAATCTTCATCATCAATCAAGTTAAATCCAGGATGTCATAAATTAAAAAGGAAATCGAAACATTTATCTCCTATTCCATTAATTGACCTGACAGCAGATGTAGAAAATATACATGAGGTCATATATGAAAACTTAATCGTTGGTATTTCGAAAGGTAAACAAAAAATATATCCATTTTTATTATTTTCTACAAATCAAATCTTGTATGGTATATATTTATAAAGTTAGTATTTTATTTATAACACTTAATTTTTCACAGAATATTTGGATCATGGTGATCAGTTTGTTGTATGTCAAACATGTCGTGCAAAGTTATGGACAAATGAATCCATTAGAGGCAAACAAAAAAGGAACACAGATTTTTCATTATGTTGTGGTTATGGCAAGGTTCAACTACCAGATTTAAAGAAGGCACCACCAACTTATGAAAGAATGTTTCAATCAAACGATTCTAAAAGCAAAAACTTCATGAAAAATATTCGACGTTACAATTCAATGTTTTCTTTTACATCGATGGGTGGTAAAATTGATTCTTCAATCAATAGAGGAAATGCTCCATACATTTTCAGACTTGGTGACCAAAATTATCATAGTATTGAAAGTCTTTTACCAGCAAAAGGATCGCAACCAAAATTCTCTCAGTTATACATTTATGATACCGAGAATGAAAATTCAAACAGACAGAGATGTTTTGGGTAAATTTTCAAACTTCTTATTCATACTCAATTTTAATAATTTTCTATTTTTTTACTAATATTATGTATATTTTCCATTCATTTAGTAGGGAAAACCACCCATCTACATCATTTGATAATGATATTATTGAAGATTTGAAGGTGATGTTAGATTCAAATAATGTCTTGGTTAGCTCTTATAGAATGGTAAGAGATGCTTTTCAAAGAAATCCTCACGTTGATATGAAGTTAAGAATTATCGGGCAAAGGAATCGTGATGGAAGGACATATAACCTACCAACTGCTTCTGAGGTTGCAGCTTTAATTGTAGGTGACATTTCTGATTCGATTGAAAATAGAGATATCGTTGTTCAAACAAAATCGGGATTTCTACAACGTATCAGTGAATTGCATCCTTCTTACCTTCCTCTCCAGTATCCACTACTATTTCCATATGGGGATGATGGTTACAGTTTTGACATTCTTCATAGAGGTATTACAGATACACCCCACAGCAAGCGGGCGACATGTACAATGAGATAAATTTTCGCTTTTAGAATTCAAGACAGGGATCATTCGTTCTCACTGATTCTTAATTCAAAAAGGTTGTTTCAACAATTTCTGGTAGATGCGTATACTATGATTGAAAGTGAGAGATTGCATTACATATGCAGGCAACAACATGTTCTTAGATGCGAGTCTTATGAGAATTTACGTAACCAAAAAGCTCAAGGAGCTACAAGTATCTCGAACGTCGGACAACGTGTGATATTACCTTCATCATTTACTGGTGGTGCACGCTATATGCTTCAAAACTATTTGGATGCCATGTCGTTATGTAAATGGTTTGGATATCCTGATTTCTTCATAACCTTTACGTGTAATCCCAAATGGCCAGAGGTCAAAAGGTTTCTTAAGGATACTTCACTTCAACCAGAAGACAGACCTGATATACTATGTAGGTTGTTCAAGATCAAGCTTGATGCATTTATTAAAGACTTAAGGGAGAATCATATCTTCGACATAGTTCAAGCAGATATTTAAAATTAACTTATTTCATAATTGATGAGATTAAATTTTTTTTATTTCATATTTTTAACATTTTGCTTGCGGTCTAACCATATTTTTTTGTGCAAAATATTTTGCAGTTTTTTATACAATTGAATTTCAAAAAAGAGGTTTGCCACATAGTCATATATGTATGTTCATGCATTCTGACTACAAGCTACCCACTGTTGAATTTATCGATCCCATAATATCCGCCGAAATACCAAACAAAGATGAAGACCCTGAATTGCATTCACTTGTGAATGAGTTCATGATTGATGGTCCGTGTGGAGCTGAAAATATCAATTGTCCATGCATGGTGGACAAAAAGTGCTCTAAAAACTTTCCAAAGCAATTATGTAATCATACGTCTGTTGATCAATGTGACATCCCCAAAATCACGGCCAGAAAAGACCGATTTGTTTATGCTTTGTTTTATAAAATCAGAGTAATCATTTGATTAAAAGAGTTGCGGAATTTGTTCCCAAAACAAAATATGATAAGAATTTATCAAAGCATTTCTTTAAAAAAAATGTATTTTAATTAAATAACAAAATCTCGGGATGTCATGTTCCGATACAGACCAACAGCATAAACAATGTAAAATAGATCTTACAACAGTTATTTATAACTACTGATCTATAATCCAAAATCTCTCGTCAAATCCACCAACTTATACCCTTATGCCATTACCTGTAATGCAAAGAAAACTGAGTGGGTCAGGCTTGGGAGCCTGGTGAGCATATAGGGTTTTCAACCCACAGTAAGATATTATATTATATTTAATCATCAGACAATCAACCCAAATTACCCATCCCCATTATCTCCTTCTGTTTCTTAAAGCTTTACCCTAAGAGTCAATTATCTTTCATTCATTCATTCCTAAGGATTGACCTAAGGGATTGGCACAAAATCCATTTGCTACCATGGTTTATACAACAGGCACTACGTCACATAGTCGCCAGGGTTTATACAATAGGCACTATGTCTCATAGTCACCAGGGTTTACACAATAGGCACTACGTCTCATAGTCACTAGGGTTTACACAATAGGCACTACGTCTCATAGTCACCAGGGGCACTACATCCCATAGTCACCAGGGTTTATACAATAGGCACTACGTCTCATAGTCACCAGGGTTTACACAATAGGCACTACGTCTCATAATCACCAGGGTTTACACAATAGGCACTATGTCTCATAGTCACCAGGGTTTACACAATAGGCACTACGTCTCATGGTCACCAGGGTTTATACAACAGGCACTACGTCTCATAGTCACCCGGGTTTACACAATAGGCACTACGTCTCATAGTCACCAGGGTTTACACAATAGGCACTACGTCTCATAGTCACCAGGGTTTACACAATAGGCACTACGTCTCATAGTCACCAGATATTTCATCTACCCAACATATTTGTAGATATAAAATACATATACGGTTTAAATCATTAAAAACCTGTATAAAACATCCATTCCACACCCATCTCAAATAAACAAATAATACATAAAACATAGCACGTATTTCATAGCAAATACTTCATATTTATGTGTTAGAAGAAAGTAACTACACACTCACTTGTTAAGACGATTGTCGGACAGCACTACGACTCTCCAAGTAGTAACTCTTCGGTGAAACCGGGATATCTTCACACACCGGGCTTCTCGTGGGCAGAGCTTCGACTTTGAAACTCTTTTCTCCTCGGGACCTTTGGGGCTTCGGGACTTGCTTCGGGTCTCGGGATGATACTGGGGCTTCGGGGGGGTTAAAATAGGGCTTAGAGAGAGTATCGGGAGTGAGAGAGAAGAGATTGAGCAACCAAACTCGGCTGCCCCTTGAATTATATTTCTAGGGCTGTTTTCATGAAATTCACGTCGTGAACAGTACTCCCACGTCGTGGGCTTGATCGTCACTGCATGCATCATCACAGGTTGCGTCTGACAGGCTCTTAAAGGTCAAATCACAGAGTCCACGTCGTGAACACTATTTTCACGTCGTGGTCTCTGACACAACTTTGGGGTTCGCGCCCCGAACTTCATAAATTCATAACTTTCGCATACGAGCTCCGTTTTCGACGTTCTTTATATCGACGCGTAGGTGAGATTATGCTATACAACTCTTGTTTAGACTTCGTCGGCTAATTTTGACTTTATTTTTATTATATTTTTATTATATTATTTTTAGTAGGCCGGGACAGGAAAACTCCGTTAGAAAATCATAACTCCTTCGTCTAACGTCCGTTTTCGTCTGTCTTTTCACCGTTGGACTACTATCGACGAGATCTTCAATTATTGTTTAGATTATTTCGGCTAAATATCGCTCGATCTCATATTCGAACTTCGGGCTGTACACTGCTAAGCCGAAACTTCGAAAAATCATAATTTCCTCATACGAAGTCAGATTTGGGCGTTCTTTTCATGCACGCTCTCGGTTTAACGTATTCTACGACTTTTGTTTAGATCGCTAAATCCAAATATCGCTCTATCGTAAATTCACTATTCACGTCGCGCTGTGTCGTGCCGGTTCTGTCGCGAAACTTCGACATGTCATAACTTATTTGCTATAACTCAGATTTCGGCGTTCTTTATATTTTCGGAAACCTTGTGACATATACTAAAACTTGGTTAAGATTAATCCTTCTAAATAATCTTCCATCAAAAAGTCGTTTTTGATGCTTATCGTGTCTAAATTGACTAGCCCTGATCTACGGGCGTTACAATCAAGATGGTTTTCCCTTATATAGGAGAAGAAACAATGGTCATTTTGTTGAAAAATCAGGTGCCAAGTTGGATAATAGAAATGTTGTCCCCTACAACAAATATCTATTGAAAAGATATCAGACACATATTAATGTTGAACGGTGCAATCAGGGATATTCTATAAAGTATTTATTCAAATACATAAACAAAGGACCTGATAGAGCTACAGTTGCCGTTGTACGAAGCAACAATGATTGTGATAATCATGAAGCGGTCGATGAAATAAATGAATATTACGATTGTAGATATTTATCTGCATGTGAAGCGTCATGGCGAATTTTTAAATATGATGTTCATTACAGGTATCCTTCTATAGTTAGACTACCTTTTCATCTTCCTGGTCAACAGCAGATTGTATATGGGGAAGACGATGATATTGATGATGTTTTGGACAAACATTTTGTTGCTGCTTCAATGTTCACAACTTGGATGAAGTGTAATGCAATTTCTTGTGATGCACGGAAGCTTACGTATGTTGAATTTCCTACAAAGTTTGTTTTGGAATCGTAAGGATAGGTTTTGGAAGCCTAGGGAAGTAGGAAAGTGCATTGGTAGAATTCATTCGGTTTCACCTAATCTAGGGGAAGCTTGTTTCTTAAGGATTCTATTAAATAAGGTGAAAGGTCCGAGATCATTTGAAGAGATTCGGACGGTAAACGGTGAAGAATATTTGTCTTTTAGAGATGCTTGTTTATGCTCTTGGGCTCTTGGATGATGACAAAGAATACATCGATGCAATTAAAGAAGCAATTCATTCTGGATCTGGTTTTTTATCTACGATTCTTATTTGCCACATTGTTGATGTGTAACAGTTTGTCTAAACCAGAAGTTGTTTGGGAAAATACATGAAAGTATTTGGCGGATGGAATTCTTTATAATCAACGACAGAGATTCAAGTGTCCAGGTATTATAATTTTATTATTATTATTTATTTAAAAGTTAAACTATTTATTTTCTAACATGCATTTGATAAATTTTTAATTATAAGTAAATATTGTTAATAATATATGTAACTAATTTGATATTTTGTCCTCCAGGCTGAACTCTTAGTGAAGATCGGCTTATGAACTTAACTCTGCCCGAGATAGAACGGATTTTACTTCGTAACAACAACACTCTAAAAAATTATAAAAACATGCCTTACCCGGACATTGATTCTGTTTCTTCTTCAAACAATCGACTTATCACCGAGGAGCTAGATTATGACATTCCCATTATAAAGACTGAATTTGACCGTATGTTTCTTGCATTAACAAACGAGCAACGTGACATTTTCCTTTATATCATGGGTGCAGTTAAAAAAATAAAAGGAGGTGTCTTCTTTGTTTATGGTTATGGTGGAACAGGTAAAAATTTTTTATGGAAGACAATATCTGCAACAATTAGATGTGATGGTCATATCGTTTTAAATGTTGCTTCAAGTGGGACTGTTTCGTTATTATTGCCCGGAGGTAGAACAACGCACTCTCGATTTATAATTCCATTTGAACTTACTGAGGATTCTGTATGTAAAATAAATCGAAGTAGTGAGCTCGCTAGCTTATTGAGAAAAAACATCTTTGATAATTTGGGATGAAGCACATATGGTCCATAAGCATGCATTTGAAGCTTTAGATCCAGTTTAAAAGATGTATTAAGGTCTGAAAATTCTACCAAGTCGAATATTCCATTTGGAGGAAAGTTATTGTTTTTGGAGGAGATTTCAGACAAATTTTGTCTGTTATTCCGGGTGGCAGCAGACAAAACATTGTTAATGCTTCTTTAAGTTCTTTATATTTATGGCAACAATGCAAAATCCATAAGTTAACAAAAAACATGAGGCTAGCGGTTGGAAGGGATCAGTCTGCTGTAGAAAAAATTAGAGATTTTGCAAAATGACTATTGGATATAGGAGAAGGCAAACTTGGTGGTCAGAATGACGGCGAAACGGTTATTGAAATTCCGGATGATATTCTCATTAGCGATACATATGATCCTATAGGTTCATTAATCGAGTTTGTATATCCTTCAATTTTGAAAATTACAACAATACAAGTTATTTTCAAGAAAGAGCAATACTAGCTCCAAAGAATGAAGTGGTTCAGGAAACAAATGACCGTTTGCTATTGAAGTTTCCCGGAGATGAGGTTGAATATTTAAGTTCAGATAGTATATGCCAATCTGAATTTGTCCATGATCAGTTTGATGCAGATTTATAATCACCTGATATTTTAAATGGTCTCAAAGTTTCGGGTCTACCAAATCATAAGTTAGTTTTAAAAATCGGTGTTCCAGTTATGTTACTGAGAAATATTGATCAGAAAAATGGCTTATGTAATGGAACAAGACTCCAAGTGATATCATTGGGCAAATGTGTTATCGAGGCACGTATCTTATCTGGAACTAATATTGGAAATTAGACTTTTATTCCAAGAATGTCTTTAACCCCACCAGAAAAAAATTCCATTCAAATTCCAAAGAAGACAGTTTCCATTGGCTGCATGTTTTGCTATGACTATTAATAAGAGTCAATGACAGTCGTTATCCAAGGTTGGTTTGTACCTCAAAGATCCTGTTTTTTCACATGACCAATTATATGTTGTATTATCTAGAGTTCAAAGCAGAGAGGAATTAAAATTGTTAATTTTAGATAAGGATGATATGCTAACCAATAAAACTTCCAATATTGTTTATAAAGAAGTTTTTGGTAATTTATAATCAATTATTTTGTATCATATTTTATTTATTTTTAGTAGTAATTAATTAAATTATATAACTTGATTTAATTTTATTAATTTATTGTGTTTGATTTATTCATGTTAATTAACTTATAATATTTTATTGTTTTTGCTTTATTCATGTTAAATACATTACTTAACTAAATTGTTATAATTAAAAAAATTTTGCTTAAAATTTATAAATTTTAAATACTTACAAATGACAATGTTAATAAAATAAATATACTATTATTATGTATTTATCTTTTTTTCTTAACTATGATATCTTATTTTATTATGTAATCAAAATTATGATTCTACTTAAATTAATCAACCGTGGGTCTCACGGATTTTACACCTAATATATATATATACACACGTGTAAAAAAAATAAAGGATACAAAAGAAAAAACGTTAAGTTAGCATAAAAGAAATTAACAAGAACTTGGAGTTAAACTAAATAAAAGGTATTATTTTTTAAACTTTGATACAATTGAAGGGTATGAATTAAAAATAAAATTAAATCATGATAATATAACATTTTATTGTTGATTGACAGTGAATTGAAATTATGGTTCGTACATGTAAAATAACCCATGTTTTTTCGCTCAAATGTACATGGTACATAGTGCCTTGGTATTTTCGCAAGGCATTGAGCCTTGTACAGAGTGGATTATGAGTTGTACATAATGAATTAGAACATGTGCACCATGCAGCAGGACTTGTACATTGAAAATTCTCGGCTGAAGGTCCTGGCGCTTCTTCTATTCCTCTTCCCGCTCACATAATTTCATCAGTTTCATTTCAATTAAACCCGTCACACATACATATATAATCAACCCAGTGCAGATTCTAAGGTTAGGGTTTTGGAGAGTGATGACCGGGTCCTGCAATGATGCATCACAGCCATTCGCCAAGACGATCTGTTCAATCTGCTACGAAGATCTCAAACCTATTGTTGAAGACCTTCAAGCAATTTCAATTTGCGGTCATGTCTTCCATGAACTCTGGTTAGTATCTAATTAACCCCCTTTTTACTCGCTGATCCTTTTTCTGTACATAATCTGTGATATCAACTGAAATCGGAATTGTGGAATTCGTAAAACCCTAGTATCTATCTGATGAATTTCAGTGTCTCTCCACATCTTACTTTTAGTGTTTGGTGTAAACTTAATATGAACTTTATCTCCATTTTATGTTTATTCGAATATATACTTTCAATGCAATGTTTTATTTCACTCGAGTGTTTTTAGCGCCTTTGTGTTTTTGACCTAGAGGCGTGATTGTTTGTAATCCATGAATCCAATAGATTTGCGCATTATATTGATATAAATGTGCTTGTAATGGTGGCAAATGTAGCATACAGCAATGGTTTGAGTACTGTTCAAAAGGGAAGAAGAAATGTCCCATATGCAAGCAAACATGTTCAGCATCCAATGTGAGTCGGCTCTATTTCCAGTCAGTTGGTGACTCTAATGAGCCTAAACTCTCTCAAAATCTGCAAACTCAAAAAGAAGATCCAGAGGAACTGAAGATAGAATGCAGAAGACTGGAGGGGAAGGTTAAGGGACTCAATTCAGCTTTAGAAAGTCGAGAAAATGATCTTAGAAACATTAGTAATGAGGTAATTATTCATATTTGACTAGAATAATTCATTTCCCCCTACTATGTTTGCTTGATTTTTTTATGTTTTTTTGCATGTAGCTTTGTGTATGCAAGGAGCAGTTGGAGAAAGAAACATCTTTGAAAACTGAAGTTTTGGAACAAACACGCACAGTCAGCCGCTTACTTAACTTAAAACACAGGTAATTTCGTCTTGATTTTTGAGTGATTTGCTTTTCAACAATCGTACTTGGTTTTTTGTTGTCAATCAGTCATTCTCTTTTAGAAGTGCCAATTACTCCATGTATGCAAAATTTCTCATTCTTGCAAAGTGTTTCATTTGTAGTTTTGAAAAGTCATGTGCTGTTTAGATTTAGGGTTAGAACCAAGAAAGAGCAATTTGCTTTCGTTAATTGGATTATTATAGCATCCTGCTTTTCTTTCTTTTTGTTACAACATTGTACTGTTTTTTTTTTGTTCTTATTGATGCGTTGAACCTTAAAGAATCCACCCAATTTTAGCATTGCAGTTTTAACTTTTTCTTATTAGGACATCTTACTTTGAAAACTTTACTTAATTATATTAGTGAAAATTGATTTGAATTTGGATGACATTTCTATGATTGGTGGATTTTTTCAAAGTAAAATGATGTAATAGGAAGAAATGAAAGTGGGATGCATTGACAAACAAATCAATGAAAGAACATTGCTATTTCTTGCATTTAATCATTGTCTATGAGGATGTGTGTCTCACATTTAAGCATGTGTCAGGAACTTAATAAATCAGATTTGGAGCGCATTAAATTGCAGGAGAGGAATATGGCTTTAGCCAAAGAACTTGCTGCATTAAAGCTGTAAGTGGAAGAAACAAACCTTCAGTTTTTAGTTTTTTATTTTATTTTTTAGTTTTGACTTTTTTTTTTCGGGATTAATGATTATCAGTCTTATGATGCAGGATGTCTGATTTGAACTTAAATGAAGAGGAAATTGTGAAGCTTGCTTCTTTGGGTACACATGCCAATAGTAAAGAGAATATAGATGTTTTAAAAAAGTCATTGGTTGTTCGCAACAAGTAAGTTACATTACTATTTACCATTATAAGTAAATAAACAGAGTTATTAATTTCTGACATCCTTCATATCACTGTTAAAATGTTGTCAAATTATTTTTAAGCATAAAATACATATTAATAAGTAAAATAATGTTTAAGCTAAAAGTTTGCCTCTTATTTGCTTTGCTGCATATTTTATTATCTTCATTTCCTGTAATCCCTTTTGTACTCTTTTGTATTCTTTTATTTTTTCTGAATAAAGTTTGCTGAGACTTTGTCTCTTTCAAAAAAAAAAAAATATGAGTAGGAAGGAGAATCTATTCTATTTTATGCAGTATGATTACTACATTTTTATAGTTACTATAATATATTACAATGTTTGTCCATAGGATGTATAAGGATTTAATTGCAAAATGCAACACTTTGGGGAGAGATGAAGCTCGTGCACGTAAAAAGCTTGAAAAAGCCAAAGAGAAGCTAGAAAAATTAAAGGTAACTCCATTCCGAAAATACCCTTTTCATTTCACAATCATCCTGAATAAATAATCTAACTTTGTTTGGTTTTCAGACAAGAATCCAAGAAATGGAGACAAACAGTGAAATCAAAGATAACGAACTGTTGAGATCTCTAAAAGCTTCAAAGAACACAAACAGTTGTCCAAATGTCTTAAATGCCCCTGAGCCATGTACACCACAAAGTACAATATATGCATCAGAGGCAGCCATTGATGATAGAAAAACAAAGAGGTTTAGAGGCTCTGAGAATATTGATGAAAGAAATGATAAAAAAGATGGAGTTAGTCCTGCCCCTGCCCCTGCGCCTGAGATAAATTCTTACATTTTAATTGATGATGATGATGATGATGGGGTCTCAATATCACATGAGAAACTGAGAGATGATGATGTGGTGGCACAAGATAAATCCATGCCTGACATCACAAAAGAAGCTTCTTTGCCTTTTCTTGATTCTCAACAAGGTAACTAATTATGCTGTTTGCTTGATGTGAAAATTTAGCTAAGCTGGGCTATACTTCTTATTACTGAAGCCTGATGGGTAAAAAACAATTAAAAAAAAAGAAAAAATAGAAACGGGTCAAATGGGTTAATAGTTGCCCAGGGCATATCGGTTGTTTATGATCTCTTTAATGTTTTATTAATAAAAACTAGATTATTGTTTTATTAATAGTTTTTCTAATCATATATAATGCTTTAGTTATGATTATCTTACATATATGGTCCTTGTTATGCAATTTTTTTTATATGTTTTGGTCCTTATTTTAGGGTTTCATAGCGTTTTGGTCCTGTCACCATGTAAAATGACTATCTTGTCCCTCTTATCTGTTTTTTTTTTACTAACTGTTATTATATTTTTTAATGTAAATATTATAAATGAAAAGTTATACAGGTTTCATTGCTTCACAGAAATCTCCATTCCTGGAGAAAGGGGTATAAATAAATAAATAAATAAATAAATAAATAAATAAATAAATAATAGTTGTAAAAGATGATATAAAGGGCAAAATAGGCATTCTACATAGGATGGGGACCAAAATTGTTATGTAACCCAGAAATAGTGACCACATATTGTAATCTAGTAACTAAAAAAAGTTGGTAGAATTTTGTCTTGTTTGACTATTCATTTTGGCATGTGTTATGTAGTTGGTTTTAATTTTTAAGAAGAGGTTGATTTGTTAATAATTTAACATCTTGTTTGTTGAATCTTGAAAAGGAGGAGGAGGAGGAGAGTTTTGTTTCTCGGGTGGATTGTTGGGCCCAGATGGAAGTAAAAGACATCTTGGAAAATGGTGTAAAAAGAGTTTTAATTTTAATAATAATAATAATAATAAAAATGCATCTTCAACACCAACACCAACACCAACACCGACACCGATGCAAGCATCTGGTGATCTTATTGCTGTTGGATCTGATGGCAGAGGTGGAACAATCAAAGTTCTCAAATCATCCTTAACCGTAATTACACTCTACTCAAATCACTTTCATCTTTATAAAATATACTTTACATTTCAAATTTCTTTTCACATATTAAAAAAGGGCCTTTCCTTTTGTTTGGTTTGGTGCAATTGGAATTTAAGTTTATTCAACCACTTACAATTTCTTTTATTACCAACAGGATTCCAGGAAATCATCTTCTATTACTAAAAATGGAAAGCTGGGGACCAAAACAACTAGTGTGCAGTCTCGTGGGATCCACCACTTCTTCAGTAAAGCAGCTCAATAGTTGGTATACAGCTTTATGTAGATTTTATCTGTTTATAAAAACACAACTGATGAAATGTGACATGATCTTGATCGGTTGAAATTGTTTTTGCTCTAAAAGAGCCATTTTTGCTGTTGTCTTGGGGGATTTGGAAATATTTCATTTTTCCTTTTTAAATGGCTTATGTTGTTTGTACATGTTGTTATGTCTAATCTAACATGCACATTGTATTATGTTTTTTTTTTTTACCTATAATAGCAGAATACTTATATTTCTCTATTGATAATAGATAGCTTCTTTATTTTCTTACCTATAATAGCAATGTACTTGCATTTTGCTACCAAAATAGACATTGTGTTTTGTGTGGTATAACTCATAAGTATTGCTATAACCCTACAACAAGTAAAGAAATGTAAGTCTGTTGCTATTATGAGTAAAGAAATGTAACTTTGTTTTTGTGTCTAAAGAAAATGCAAGTATGTTTCTATAATGAGTTGCATATTGTTCTTTCTTATTGGTAAAGAATTGTGAGTGAATAAAAAGTAAAGTATGTTGCTGATATTGGTAAAACAGTAAATAAAGTATGTTGCTATTTCTTGCAAATTACATCCAAATGGTCTTCTTTTAGGGTTATTCATTATTAAAATGCGACTGCCACTATTTGTAAATCTCAATGCTCTTGGAGCAAATAAAAAATGTCGATATAGATATAAAATATAAATAGCAGGAATAACATGTAAAAAATAAGCAAAAACCCAAACCACTTAAAACCCTAATTACCGTTTTTTCAAAAAATGTTGTTTAATGATGATTACAATGGTTTAAAATGTCAAACATTTTAATAATTATAAGCATCTCAATAGTTTGTCGTTTGAATAGCATGCTAATATCTCCTCCCTCTTCTAATAAACAAGTACTCTATATGCCACATCATCCTTTAATCTAAATTATGCCAAATGTCATCAATTCAATAGATGTTCAACTTTTTTGGTATTTATTATATTTCCTAAAATACTAACGAAATTAATAGCAATGTACTTTTACTATGTACTTTTGTGTGATTTTCTGCCTAATTATTAATAGGGTATTGAAAACACACACACACACACACCTGCAAATCGGTATTGAAAACACACACACACACACACCTGCAATTAAATATTGAACACCCCACATATATAAGTGTATACACATCCATAGTAGTAAATTGACCATTATACCCTTGATTTGGAAAGCTTTCAATTTTTTGTACATTCAAACTGATATGTACTGTTTTCTATAAGCAAATTTCAATAAAAGCATTCAACTTTGCAACAAAAAAAAATCATTAATAGCATCGTACTTTAAAAAAATGAATTTTTCGGATTCTTTTTAGATAATCTGGAAAAGTTTCATATTTTTATACATTAGAGTTCATTAATCGGACATTTTTATGGAAACAATTCCGTTAATGGAAAATACAATGTTATTTTATTTCACTCCTAGGTCATTAATAGCATTATACTTTAAAAAAATAATGTTTTTGGATTATTGATAGATGATATGGAAAAATTTTAATGAATTGTACATTCCAACGGATTTGTAGGACTGTTGTTTGTAAATTGACCAGAGTAAAGAGTAAAGAGCAGAGAATGATTAAAGTTATTGATTTTAGATAAAAATGATAATTTGACCAATAAAACTTCTAATGTTGTATACAAAGAAGTGTTTTAAAATGTATGTTAAAAGACTTTTCTTATTTTATTTATCAAATTAATTCAACTTTACTTACAATCTGAAATACATTGCTTTTTATTTTGTTCACAATTAATATTATTTTTTGTCTGTATAAATTTTTTTTAAACATATCAACCGTGGTTTCCATGAGTTATAACTCAGTAAAAATACTTGAGATCATAGTTTTTGGCACAATTTAACCTTGTATACCTTTTTAGTTCTCTTTTGTTGATTTTTTTTGATAATATGTAAGACACATGAGGCTTTTTGTGTTCATAAAAAGTTTTAAGTAAGCTTTGTAACCATGAAATTGTTAGAAGATGGCTATCGGCCTATCTATGGCTACTCCGACTAAAAATTTAAAATGTGCATTCTAACTAAACAGTTTTAAATAGGTCTTTTTTACATTTTTATATTATAAGGTCTATTCAAATTATCAATTGCATTATTCATCCTTTAGGTGCCCAAGTGACACCTAAAAGTTTTGATATTATCTCAACTCATCTTAAAGAATGATTTTTTTGGTACTATATTCATAAGGGCATTGAGGGAGAGACAAAATGGGCAGCTGCACACTGTCTAATTTTTTTGGGCCCATGTGTGTATATATATATATATATATATATATATATATATATATTTAAAAATAAAAAAATTATAATAGCGATAATGACCATTTTTTCTCGCTCGTCTAGGGCATTTGAGGATATTTAAATCCTCATGTCCGGCCCTGGCTATATTACGTATATCATCATCACAATTACACATGTTTAAAAAAAATTATATGGTATTATATAATTAAAATTAGGTGATCGAGTGTTTGATGAATTCTTACTATCAAGACTAACTAATAAAATCGTTAAAAAACATAAAACTATAATAGTAGAACAAGTTATATACAAGAAATAAAACATGTGATTATTCTACCTTAAGAATCACATTTGTTATAAAACCTTTTTTATCTATTTCAAGATCAAATGATTTTCATGTAATTACTCTTTTATCAAACACTACAAAACTAATTTTTATGATCTTAATTCAAATGATAATGTTTTAAGCATATTCAAACACCTTGTATGATGCGTCTGATGGGTTTTCTAGGTTATAATAAAATTACATGTGTCGGAAAAACACTTAAACACTTAAGTTCACATGTAACCTAGAAATGATCTATGTTTTCTCTATTGATAGCAACTAACTATGAATATCAAGAAACCCTAAGAGAGAGGCTATGAAATCGAAATTCATGTCAAATTAGGGTTACATACCTCTTGATTATTATTGTAAATAATAAAAGTAGAATCATTGTGAGAGTGTGTGCGGTGGAGGAAAATGGGATCCCAAAGGGTCCTATTTATAGGCTATAGGATAACCCTAGAAACCCTGCCCTTGAATTAAAATAATAATATTTCAAATTCAAGATAAATATCTAGTATCCTTATCATTAGGAAGCTTCCAGAAACCCCATCTAGGGATCCTCTAAAACCGTTCCTATGTGGAAAGTTCTAGAAGCCTTCATTTGTTCAACTTTTGAACAATAACAACCCAAGTCCCTACACTTTTAATTAATTCAATAAATCCCGAAATTAATTCCAATTAATTTCTGATTAATTCCAAATTAATTATTACTATTTCCAATTAATATATTAATCATATAATATATTAATAAAATCATTTATTTCAATTTCTAATTAATTTATTAATCATATAATAAATTAACAAATCAACCTCTTCCTCTAAAAGTCATTCTATCCAAATATAGTTTTAAGGTAACCTAAAAAAGGACTTTGCTTCTAATTCAAGAATATACCAATTTTATTAAGTGGCTTAGACACCTTAATCCAACAATCTCCTATTTGGATAAGTCGGTAACTACAATTGAAAGTATAAACCTTAAAATAAACAACAAAGAGTGATTTCCAAAGTCACTGTCAAACTCTGATTCAAATCAGTTATTGACCCTAAGATAAGTGATCAACTATTCCATTGTGCTTCAAGATATCGTATGGACACGAGACATGGATCAAAATCAATCCCATTGTCCAAAATTTTGTTTCTCGATTTGTAAAGACTTAATTGGACTTCAAATTGAACACATCAATTAGCCCTGGATGGGCCCAACACTATATAGTCAACATCAAATCATCGAGGGGCCTAATGATATAGCTTTTCCTGTTAGGGAAAAAGGAACAAATTGCTTTGACTATGTAGTCATACAATTTACATATCAAATCACACATGGAATAACCCTTTTATAACGTTCAGTTACGAAATGCGTTTGAGTCAACCAATGCATAACTGATCTGTAAACTATGAACTACATATCTCTGCTTTAAGAATAGTAGATGTTATCGTCTTAGAATTATTCGTGACAAGACCCATGAAGTAATCTCTAAGCATGGGTTGATCCAATACTTAAAATACATATTTTCAAAGTACTCATGAATATTGTAGCAATTCAAATTGCAATTTCTTAACCTCAATCGACAATCTACAATCAATTCATGACAGTCTTAATTCACTACTTACTTCCAAAAGTATGAATGAGTGTGGAAGTTTGAATAATTCAAACCACTCTGGAAGTGTAAACATGCAAAAAGAAACACAAGAATAAATAATTGAATAAGGCTGTACGATACTCATAAATAATTCTCTATTATTCATTCACCCAATCAATTACATTTATTTTGTTACAAGTTTCAAACATATCACCTAACTACTAAAATTAATATCGTCTCTTAGGCCTATGCTCCTAGCATGCTGGTAGTGTTTGACTCTGCTCAGAGTCTTTGTGAAAGGATCTGCAACATTATCATCTCATGATACTCTCTTCACCAGAAGGTGTCCTTGTTCTACCCGATGTCGAATGTAATTGTACTTTCTGTCAATATGTTGGATCTACTATGATCCTTTGGTTCTTTTGTCAAAGCAACCACGCCTTCGTTATCACAATACAATTTCATGGGTTCCTGAATAGTTGGAACGAATTCGAGATATCCGATAAAGTTCTTCAGCCAAACCGCTTCCTTCGATGCATCACTTGCTGCAATGTATTAGAATCACACGTGGAATCGGCCACCGTGTCTTGTTTGGAACTTTTCCAAGTAACCATTTCTCTATTCAGTAAAAATACCCAACTAGACTGCGAACAAAAGTTGTCCCGACCTGTTTGAAAACTGGTGTCACTGTAACCACTCACTCTTAACGTATCATTGCCGCGAATAAATAGAAACATGTCTTTCGTTCTTCGCAGATACTTAAGAATATTCTTCACCGCAATCCATTGGGCTATGCCATGATTTCCCTGAAATCGACTAACCATGCTCAAAGCATAAGACACATCAGGGCGAGTACATGTCATTGCATACATGATCGATCCTATAGTCGAAACATATGAGACTCGAATCATGCCAACTATTTCTTCATCACTACTTGGACTTTGAGTCTTAATCAACTTGATAATACT